TCACGTATACAATACTGATTAAGAAATTGAAGGTAAGAGAAGTTAAGTAATATACCCAATAGTACACAGCTAGTAAAAGTAGCAGTACTGTAATTGCTTAGGGAAAAGAGATCTCAAGTATGATCATGAAAAAAAAAAAAAAAAAAAAAAAAAAAAGAAAAGAAAAGAAAAAACAAGGAGATAAAGAAAAAATAAGGAGCAAAGACTGAAGAAAGTAACTAGGTAAGAGTGGGAAATGAGAAAAGGAATTAAGATATATGCTTGCAAGAAAACGATTATCTGAAACAAAATTAGCTAATTTGTGTGCAACAGAATAAAGGGAGAGGATGAAATGTACATTAGATTTAAGGGAATGTATAGTGTATTTCAGTTTCCTACTCATATAGATAAATTCAGTTCAAAAATGTTAATTATTATGTATTCACCTTAGGACACCAGATATTTCTATGTGAATGATGCCGCCATTGCACAAAGAATTCCAGAAGTCTTTCAAAATTGCCTTCAGAGTTAAGTTTATGAGCAAGAAAACAAGTCTCATTACTTGATCCCCACATCTTGTTTCTGACAAAAAGTGGTATGATCCAACCTCATCATCTAGTTTATTCACCCAACAAGTAGAAAGCTTCAAATTGTTTATAGCTACTTATAACCTCTCTGCCCTATACCTACACTTTTTAAAAAATCCCAGTTTACCTTTATTCTATTACTAGTTTTATAATGAACTGGTCAATGTTTTTGAAACCCCATCTTTGTTTTAAAAACTTAGAAAATTAATAAGAATGCTATAAAACTACATGCAGTTGGTATGAAAATTATTAATCATTATTTGATGGCATTCTTACCTTTGTAGCAATAATTTCACTTTCTCCCTTTCTATCTACCTCTCAGACTTCATCTACTTTTTGGCTGTGAGCTCTTTGTTGGTTTTGCTCAGTCTGTCTTGCTCTCTACTGTTTCTTATTGCTTAATCTTGCTTTGTTGATGTGTATTATAAAAGAACTACTCTATAGTCTTCACATCCTAGAGATTTTTTTTCATATGGTAGTAACTAAGAAGATCAAGTTAATCCTTCAAATGGAAGGAAAAGTGTCAAAATAGTATCTAGAGGGTGAATAAGTGGTTATGTTTGTAATGCTTTAATAGACTATCTTTATAGTCTACCTTTTTAGTGGATTAAAAAAAAAAAAAAAAACAAAGAATATAAAGAAGACTAAATTGGCTCCTCTAGGCTTGCTACGTGTCTTTGGTTGACAAGCAACCAGAGGTGGTGGCAAAGGAACAGAAAGGTAACTGGAAAGCTGATCTGACCCAAAGCAGAGAGAAGTATATTCCCCCACCATATAAAATTAGGCAGAAAAGTAAGTATCTGCTCATATCCACATGTCTCATTTTAGTCTGAGGTCTACCACTAAACATATTTACTGATTTCCAGAAGTTATTAACAATAATAAGTTAATGTTCATTACATAGTAATCATGTGCTACCACTCCGCTGAGACCTTCTGCTATAATTTGGATGCTGTCCATTTAATCTCATGCTAAATTGAAATCCCCAGTGTTGGAGGTGAGGCCTGGTAGGAGGTGAATAGATCACAGGGGCAGATCCCTAATGGCTTGGTGCTGTCCTCACAACAGTGAGTGAGTTCTTGTGAGATCTAGTTGCTTAAAAGTGTATGGCACCGCCCCACCCCTGCTCCTGCTCTCACCATGTGAAACACCAACTCATCCTTTGCCTTCTGCCATAACTGTAAGCAGCCCAAGGCCTCACCAGAAGCCGAGTAGATGCTGGTGCCATGTTTCCTGTACAGCCTGCAAAATTGTGAGCCAATTAAACCTCTCTTCTTTATAAATTACCCAGTATCAGAAATTTCTTTATATCAATGCAAGAATGACCTAACACACCTGCTAAGATTGAGTGGTAAGCAGGATGAACATGAGTCCCCCTTTCCTGAAGAAGTTGATAATCTAATGAATGGAAAAGATATTAAAATAAGTATTAAAAGGATATTATAATTATAGTGAGTATTATGAAATCAAGTACAGGTTGCTTATAAAAGTAAATACAGGGAAACTGATGACTATGGAAAACTGATATTAAAGTTTAGACATGAAGGATAAACAGGAGTTAGGTTAAAAACCATTCCAGTAAAAGAAAGCATGATGCAAGACGATGCTGTACAGAGTAACAGTTTGGTGCATTCACAGAACAGAGAGGCCAATACAGCTTGACCGTGGTGAGTAAAGGGGAAGAATGGTCATGATAAGTCTGGAGAATTGGTGAGGCATCACATTATATGGGCTGTTGCAGGCCACACTAAGGATTTAGCATTTAATCCCCAGAACAATAAGAAGCTATTAAAGGGTTTTAGGCAGGAAACTGACATATAGATTTGCAATCTTACACAATCGATGCTATGCAGAGAACAAAGCGGGATAAGAGTGTATGTGTGTGTAGTAATTAAAGAAAAGGATACAGCCTAGGCAAGAGATTAATAGTGACTTGAATTAGGGAAGTGGCAGTGTTGATGGAGACAAAATGACATATTTGAGATATATTTAGAAGTAAGAATAAACAGGACTTTGTAATTGATTGCCTATGAGGTATAAGGTGAAGAAGATATCAGTGATAGTTTTCTGCTACGAGTAACTAGGGAGATAATGTATAATTAAGATGGGGAACAGTGGAGAAGGAGCTGGTCTGACGGCAAGAACCAAGGTTCTATTTTGTACATACTGAGTTTGAGATGACTGTCGGTAGACATACAATTGGATTCAGTTACACAGATGGACTATAGGCCTGGAGCTCAGTAGGGAAGTCTGGGCTGAAGGCATAAATGTGGGAATACATAGACACGCATAAATATTATTTGAAGTTCATGTGAGTAGTTACAAACAACTAAGAGTGTGGAATTAGAAAGAATGAAACTCAGATATACTCACTTGAATGTCAACATTTAAGAGTTGGGTAGAAGAGGTGAAAAGGGACTGAGAATGAGCAGCCTGCAAAGTAGGAAGAAAATCAGTAGAAATGATCACAGAAGCACAGAGCCCAGAGTGTTTAAGTAAGGTGGAAGTGGCCAAATATAATAGAAAGTCCTTAAAGATTAATTCACAAGATCAGCTTTAGTGAAAGACTATAAAAGATGCTGGATTGAAATTAGGTTAAAAAAATAGACAGTATATGGATAATCTTTATCATTCAAGAAATCTGACCATCAGATTACCAGTATGGATGATCTTTATCATTCAAGAAATCTGGATCACCCCTGCACTAAGATTCATTATCTCACTTAATCCTCAAAATTACCATTATCCTTATTTTATAGATGAGGACACTGAGGTTTACCCCAAGGTTATGGGACAAGCCTAATTTTCTCATCTCATCTAGATGAGCCCTAAAAGTCCTTCTACTTCCATGAAAAAACGAAAAACTATACCACTGTTTCTGTCCCACAGTCATAATAAATTTAGCATCTTTCACAAGAATAGAAGCAGCCTGTTGCATACCCTTCTTTGTTGCACAAACCTGCAAATAAATCCATAACTTTTGTATTAATCATGTTAAAAACTGAATATACTAAAAAATAAGCTATCAACAATCCATACCACAAGTGTGGGTCTCTTTTTTTTTATACTTTATGTTCTAGGGTACATGTGCACAACGTGCAGGTTTGTTACATATGTATACATGTGCCATGTTGGTGTGCTGCACCCATTAACTCGTCATTTACATTAGGTATATCTCCTAATGCTATCCTTCCCCCCGACTCTCTCCCCACAATAGGACCCAGTGTGTGATGCTCCCCTTCCTGTGTCCAAGTGATCTCATTGTTCAATTCTCATCTATGAGTGAGAACATGCAGTATTTGGTTTTCTGTTCTTGTGACAGTTTGCTGAGAATGATGGTTTCCAGCTGCATCCATGTCCCTACAAAGGACACAAACTCATCCTTTTTTCTGGCTGCATAGTATTCCATGATGTGTATGTGCCACATTTTCTTAATCCAGTCTGTCACTGATGGACATTTGGGTTGATTCCAAGTCTTTGCTATTGTGAATATTGCCCCAATAAACATACGTGTGCATGTGTTTTTATAGCAGCATGACTCATAATCCTTTGGGTATATCCCCAGTAATGGATGGCTGGGTCAAATGGTATTTCTAGTTCTAGATCCTTGAGGAATCGCCACAGTTTTCCACAATGGTTGAACTACTTTACAGTCCCACCAACAGTGTAAAAGTGTTCCTATTTCTCCAGATCCTCTCCATCACCTGTTGTTTCCTGATTTTTTAATGATTGCCATTCTAACTGGTGTGAGATGGTATCTCATTGCGGTTTTGATATGCATTTTTCTGATGGCCAGTGATGATGAGCATTTTTTCATGTGTCTGTTGGCTGCATGAATGTCTTGAGAAATGTCTATTCCTATCCTTTGCCCACTTTTTGATGGGGTTGTTTATGTCTCTGCCAGTCTTTAGTATCAGGATGATATTGGCCTCATAAAATGAGTTAGGGAGGATTCCCTCTTTTTCTATTGATTGGAATAGTTTCAGAAGGAATGGTACCAGCTCCTCCTTGTACCTCCGGTAGAATTCGGCTGTGAATCCGTCCTGTCCTGGACTTTTTTTGGTTGGTAGGCTATTAATTATTGCCTCAATTTCAGAGCATATTATTGGTCTATTCAGGGATTCCACTTCTTCCTGGTTTAGTGTTGGGAGAGTGTATATGTCCAAGAATTTATCCACTTCTTCTAGGTTTTCTAGTTTATTTGCATAGAGGTGTTTATAGTATTCTCTGATGGTAGTTTGTATTTCTGTGGGGTC